TCTTAACTTGTAGAAAGTGAACACAGCTCAATATAGAATAATGAAATATTATAGAAAATTTAACCTTTGACCTAATGTGCAAATCATTTCCGATTGTAAAGTAATGTATGAAAACATTTTTAAAAAGGACCTTTGCTATCAGAAAGTTTATCTCGTAATTTGTCTAATTGAGCCGAAAGGGAGTACTACGGAGTCAAAGTTCAACACTTAAAATCGATTTGTTTTGAAAAAATCATTGAATTTTTTATAAGTCTGATTCTCCCTATAAATGTTTTGAAAACGAATTTATTAGTTCTGTTTGAATAATATGAAGCAAAATTTGGTACTTTTTTCCTGACCGATGAAAATAATGCAGCTTTGTAAATTTTTATGATATAACGGTACTTTTTGATTTATCCAAAAATTAAAGTCTTAATTGATACTTTTGATCATATAGACAAATTGAGCCCAAGCAAAGTGAGATACCACAGCATGGTACTTTTCTCTTCAAAAAGTACTTTTTACTTTTTTAATCTTAAAAACTGAGACAAAAAACGAAAGTATTTTTTTAATATTTTAAAATTTTTATTTTTTTACCAACATTTTCTTATGAGTGTATTTATATCACAAACGACACTATCTTGATCTATACAATAAGTTATAAATTAAAAAAAAACAAAACTGTTTTCTATTTTAAACACATTTTGAATCATTTTCTGTTGCTTTCATAATGAAACTAGTTAAAAATTTAAATATAAATATTCAATGAATTTGAGAATGAATGAATCAAAACTGAATGAAACATTAATAATACAAAATTATTTTGTATTAATGATGGGAAAGAATGAATGAAAAAAAAGCAAATAAAAGTATGAATTACTTAATTTGTAAATATATTTTAATTAATTACAATAAATTTATCAATAAAAAAATATATTACAAAATTAATAAAAAAAAAAAAAAAAAAAATCAACGTAAAGTTATATGAATGAATCGTATAATAATGTTTATTTTAATGATTTGTTAAGTCATTAAAATAATTTTTATTTGAGTAGAAATTGTGTTTTTTTCTTGTTTATTTCTCATGTGGATCAATTAATTTTATTATGTATTTTGTTAAAATAAAAATTTATTTGTTTTTTTGTCGTAATTATCTTTATTTTTTTTTTCAATATCATTTCACTTTATTGTTTTTCAATTTATTTTTTTGCGAATAATTTACATTCAAAATTATCAGTGGTTTCTAATATAATTTTTATATATGAAAATAAAACTTGCTTGACTTTTATTTTTCATACATTAAAATGTCGTTAATTTCAGTTTTGTTGTGGGATATTTTATTTTTTAGCTAGAAGATTTAAATTTATAAAAGAAATATAAAAAATTTTTAGATTTTAACACCTGATTAGCAATTTTAATGAACGTTTTTATGATCGATTAAAAACAAATTGAATTCTTTTTTATTAATTTTATATATGCATTTTATGAGAATATTAATTATAATAAAAAAAGTATGTAGTAGTAGATATTTAATGAATATTAGAAGCGATTAGAAGAAATTTAATTTAAAAGGGATTTATAGTTAAAGTCGGATTTTGTTAAAAAATCGTTTTTTTTTTTCAGTGAAAGTTCGTTTTTATTGTGAAAATCTAGTTTTTTAAGTGAAAGATCGAATTCAAATTAAAAAAACACCATTTCAGGTAAAAACTTTAAATTTAAGTTTTAAGCATTTTAATCAAACACATCGCATTTTAAGTGAAAATTAGATTATTAGTGAATTATTGAATTTTTAGAGAAAAATAAAATTGTTAGTGAAAAATTTTATTTTTAGTGAAAAATTGAATTGTAGTGAAAAATTTTATTCTTTGTGAAAATTTTACTTTTTAGTGAAAAATTTTATTTTTTGTAAAAATTTTACTTTTTAATGAAATTTGAATTTTTAGTGAAAAATTTTATTTTTAGTGAAAAATTTACTTTTTAATGAAAAAATGAATTTTTAGTGAAAAATTTTATTTTTAGTGAAAAATTTAATATTTAGTGAAATTTTTTTTTAATTATTTTAAAAAATTCAGTTAATTTTATAATTTTCTCAAATTTTCATGCATTTAGAAAACTAACAAAACTGGCAAACGAACTGTCATATTGCAATCACTTTATGATCTTCATGATCCTTATAATCTGACAAAACATCAGAAATACATGTATTGATGCTTGAAATTTTTTTATAAAAATCTGTCATCGATACGTGGAAACTGAACCGATATTTTATCTCAAAATCGTATTCGGTGATTAATCTCAAAACATAAAATTATCGCATATAGAATGACATTACCCTATAACTCCATTATACATTATCGGATCTTATTTCTTCAAAAAATAAACCGGAGCTCACTTTACGGTCAATGAAGATCGTTACCGCACATTCATCCAGGCGAGATGCAGTTTTAACGGTACAACTTACGTGCAAAAGGCAAGGAAACCATCCATTTATTGAAATCAAGATTTTTAGATAACTTGATTTCGGGAAATATCTTTCAAGATCGTGTAAATTGACCTCTCGATTAATACCTTTGGGTCTTGCAGAAGTCGCTAGTTTATGCTGCTAAACCAGCAACAATTGACGCTTTAAAGGGTAACATTCGTTCGTGTTATTCATACGACTCGCGAAAGTGACGAAAATTGAACGTCCAGAATGCGCTTCGCCCAAAACAGCAGCGGTTACCATGTGCCCGAAATGATTTTCAATTGTCATTCATATTTTTCTAAAATATTTTCACAATTTCAAGATCATTTTACAAACAAAGTCCATCTGAAAATGAAAAAAATAGTGAGCGACAAAATTAGGTAAACACTAGAGATTTTTTATACCTTACACCCCTATTGAGAGGATAGGGTGTTATGCGTTTGTGCTGATGTTTATAACACCAAAAAAAATTGGTTCGACACCCACCTTAAAGTATACCAATCTGCTCGATTTAGCTATGTCCGTCTGTCCATCCGTCTGTGTGTTTTATGAAATGTGACACATACTCTTCTTTTGGACCAAGGACACAGCCTATTGAAAATGGTCAAAATCGGTGCATTATTTCGTATAGTCTCCATAAAACCGTACCCCCCGAATAGGGCTTTTGAGCTCATAAATATGTTAAATGTTCTTGTATAACTTCAAAAATCGGAAAAACTTAGTTTTATATAAGTCTTAATGATACTGCTGATTTTCGTAATGATCGGGCCTCATTTGACCCGATGACTTGATGGTCAAAATTCACTTATAAACACTAGTATCACGATGATATTCTGCATAAATAACTGACGTAGACGTAAATCCCTCTACCAAAATTTATAAGGATTGGACCATATTAACCCTCTGTCCCAATTTAACCCCTCTTTTTGAAAATCTCTTTTTTGTCAACAAATTGTTAAAATATTTCTTAATTAAGGTAAAAATGAAATTAAATACTTTATTATTAAAAATTAATCAACATTTTTAACATAATCACTGGTGTAGGGTATCATATGGTCGGTCATGCCCGACTTTAAATTCTTACTTGTTTAATGATTTTTCCAAATTAATGATGTTCAATTTTAAATTATATTGGATTTTTATTCAAACGTTTATTTACTTTTAATGCTCATGGTAGTATACACAGAGGGAACCAAATTAATATCAAAGATTTTATAATTTTTCAATAACATCCGTTGTCAACATTGCAACAATTCGTTGTCGAAATCTAAATTTTATACACATCCGTTGTCAAAATGTTAACAAACGTGGTATGCTCACTGCTGGCAACGGATTGCTTGTCATTTAGATAACGTATGTGTATAAAATTTAGATTTCGACAACGTATTGTTGCAATGTTGTCAACACTTACTTTGACAACGGATGTTATTGAAAAATTATAAACATTTTGGTGTCAATTTGGTACCAGGCGTGTATATTTCTTTTTCTCTCTGTGTATATTTTTGATTGTTAAGCAGCGATTTGTGCGTATATGTGTATAATCTTTTAATGATTTAAGTCAATTTAATACATCACCGTTAACACCACTAGCAAAATCTCTATAGATATGTTGATGAAGGCAGCAAAAGATGGATGGATAAATAAAGTTAGGACGGATGAATGGATAAATGTTTTAACAGTCCAACGAAATAAAAGGTGAAGAGAAGGCGTTACCACTTTTGTAGCAGATATGCATCTCAAGATTTTAACTTGAAGAACTCAGGGAACAAAACAAATATGAAAAGAAACTTTTATCTGTTCTTTAACATAAACGTTGCTGTATTGAAGAATTTATGAATTGTGTTAATATTTGTTCTGTTTTGAAAACAGTGATATGCATAAAGAGTACATGTTGTACTCAGCTTATCAAGAAATAAGTTCTAGTTGAAAGCTTTAAAGTTACTGATGGTTCATTGTATTTGTCATTTACCGGTTTAATATAGTTCATTAGTATTTGTGTTGTACATGCTGATCGGCTCCTATTAGCTTAGCCAGTCGATCTTTGTTGTAGAGCGTCATTTTTGGTGATCCATTTTTTCCTCTCTGTTTCTTTGTGTTTTGGTTTGATTGTATTTGGTAAAGGGTTTATTATTTGTATTGAGGCTGCTGAGAAAAATGATGCTAATATTGCCTTGAAAAAAGTCCCTAATTACGGCATTAAGGTGTCAAAATGATGACTGGTAGAGATATAAAACATATTTTATATCTTTTAGGGATAAATACTGATTGTTTTCACATATATTCTTTTAAAAATTTATACTAAAGTGTTAAACTTAAGGCAAAATAATAAATTTATTATGTAATGATAAGAACAATTATTTAAATTTAGATATGAAGCAATACAAGTGTAGCTTCTCTTGATCATCAGTTAGATTAGATATACAGATGTATATATTTTTAATACTTACTTCCTTTATAAACCATTTTTTTAAATACCAAACCACTTTTAACAAGCACTTCTTTTAATCGTTTTTTTTTTTACTTTCTATATTAAACTAAATTATTTACAAAATCGAAATGTTACATCGTTAACAATGCATAACCTTTAACATTTCCTTGTGTATATAAGTATAAGTATATAAGTATTTTAACTATAAATATAAAGAGATTCTAGCCTACTTAACACAAATACATTAAGTATTTAGTAGTTTTACAAAAATTAAAAATAAAAACAATTAATTAAAAAATAATAATAAAAAATATTACAAATATTATCACGTTAATACATTTAAATATAATAAAACAAAACTAAAATTAATTAAAGAAAAAAAGTATACAAAAAGTAGGTAGTAAATTGAATACTATAGCGTTTTTAATCACTTAATCACTAAAACAGATTTGTTTTGTTAATAAATAATTAAAATTTATCACGTGTAATGGAAAGCTTCTTGATTTTATTTTTATTTTGCATTACAAACTATTAAGTATATTCGCACATCTCTCCTAAAGACATGTATTGACTTCACGTTTTTCGAGACATTTTTCACAAGTCACCTCACAGCACCACTTAAATACACACTTACAATTAACCCATTCGGAGACGATATGATGTTTGTGTCCTCGATTACAGCATAAGAGTTCACAACCATCTACCCCCATAGAGGTGCTGTTGCATTCACGATCTTGTGTCCCTAACGAACCGGTTCGTATGTTAGGTGCACAGAAATCGGCTGAATCATCTGAATATACTAGATCGTATTTTGAGGGTTGTTTGACATTTTCACTTTCGGGCATAAAACTATTGCCATCATTACGTAGCACTACTTTGTAGGCACCATCGAATTTTTCTCTAAGCCGCGTGGAAACTTCACGAAATGAGGGCATTTTTAACCAGCATGTTTTAACAGTACATGAACCGGATAGGCCATGACATTTACATTCCAAACGTATAGAATCTCGAATGGCCTGGAAGGAAAAAAGTAAAGAATGTTTTATTTTCATTAAAATGTCCTCGCCAGGTAACACGCGGGTTAAAGAACTTCAGCCTTTTCTCTTTCCCTGTAAATTATTATAAACCCAACTTACCAATCTCCCCGCCATATTATTGTGTAATTTCACCAACGTCCTCAGATCACTTCGACGACGATATTTAGAATCTAAAAATATTCTCGAATGACGAAAGCCAAAATTTACATTATCACTGCAACCTCCCCATTCCCATTCGCCCTCGGGAAATTTAATATTTTTCAAAAGTTTTCGCCTTCTATTGCCACCGCCTCCTCCCCCGCCCCTACGGCTATTATTAGCATTATGACGCGGCCTTGTAGAATTCCTCTCATATTCCGCCTGTTGCTTCTCCAAGGCAGCTACAGCCGTTACAGCATTAACCATTTGTGGTTGACCACCATTGCGTCTGGAGTGGCTTTTGTCACAAGAACATTCTACCAAATTGCCCAAAGTACAGGCTTTGGTTACCGCATAAGTAACACCCGCTGAGGTAATGGCATTAACAAAACCAGTTTCTCGAGTATCTGAAATGAAAGAAATGATTTATATAGATTAATATTAATCATAATTAACTTTTATTATAAACAATTACTAGTTTATTTGTTTGATATATTTTTTCTTAAACGTTTGCATTTTAGTTTTATTTGCTCTGGCTACTTTAAAATTCATATTATGCTAAATAAACACACTTCTAAAGTGACAACTATTTGACATTTGTCACGTTCTCATTTGCATACTTACTCACCACCTCTTAGCAATACAATACTACTCTACTTCACTATATATGAAGTAGTGTTTAGGTACAACGTTATAAAGCCAATATTTAGTATTTATCTCAGGTGTAGTTACCCCAACATCCGTAAGTTCATAAATAGAATTAAATGAAATAAAAAACAAATGTAAACGTGTAAGTAAATTGCTTGTAAATAGCAGGAATAGAAAATCCACTACTGTTTTAGTTTTCAGTATTTTTATATAATGAATAGTCAACAGATTAGTCAGCAAATAGACTAGCCCATCGTCTGGTCCATACATTTTTGAACGGACTAATAAATATATTCGTTACTAGAGTAGTCCTTAAACTGGTCCACACACTAGTCAATAGTGTAATCAATAGTCCATGGATTAGTCAATATACTAGTTCATAGATTAGAGCTAATGGGCTAGTCCATAGACTATTTAATAGACTAGCCAACAGACTGGTCCATAGACTAACCAATAGGCTAGTCAATAGAGTAGGTAATGGGGTTGTCAATAGACTAGCCAATATGGTAGTCAATAGAGTAGGTAATGAGCTTGTTAATAGACTAGCCAACAGACTAATCAATAGACTAGCCAATAGATTAGCCTATAAAGTAGTCTATAGGCAAGTCAATAAAGTAGCCAATGGGCTAGTGAATAGACTAGCCAACAGACTAATCAATAGACTAGCCAATAGAGTAGTCCATAGATTAGCCAATAGGCTAGTAAATATACTAGCCAATAGACAAGTCAATATACTAACCAATAGACAAGTTTATAGACTAGTCCATAGACAAGTTTATAGACTAGTCCATAGACTAGTCAATAGGTTAGTCAATAGACTAGCCAATAGTCTAGGCAATAGTCTAGTCAATAGTCTAGCAAATGGACCAACTGAACTAGTCTATGGACTAGCCAATAGACTACTCAATAGACTAGTCCAAGGCAACAGACTAGACTAATCAATAGACTAGTTAACAGACTAGACAATAGACTAGTCCATAGACTATTTAATAGACTAATTAATAGACTAGCCAATAGGCTTGTAAATAGCCAATAGGGTAGTCCATAAACTAGACTATAGGCTAGTCAATAGACTAGTCAATAGAGTAGCCAATGGAATAGTCAATAGATTAACCAACAGACTAATCAATAGGCTATCCAATAGGCTACCCACTAGTCTAGTTAATAGACTAGTCCATGGATAGTCCATGGACTATCCATGACTAGTCCGTAGTCCATGGACTAGTCAATAGATTTGCCAATACACTAGTCTATAGATTAGTCTATGGACTAGTAAATAGGCTAGTCCATAGACTAGTCAGTAAACTGGCCAATAGACTAATCAATAGACTATCCAATAGAGTAGTCCATAGGCTAATCAATAGACTAGTCATGACTCCAGCAAATGGACCAATTGAACTAATCTATGGACTAGCCAATAGACTACTCAATAGACTAATCCAAGCCAACAGACTATACTAGTCAATAAACTAGCCAATGGGCTAGTTAACAGACTAGACAATAAACTAGTCCATAGACTATTTAATATACTATCTAATAGAGTAATTAATAGACTAGCCAACAGAATAGCCAATAGGCTAGTCAATAGATTAGCCAATAGACTAGTCCATATACTAGTCTTTAGACTAGCCCATAGACTAGTCCATAAACTAGTCAATAGGCTAGTCAATAGAGTAGCCAATGGACTAGTCAATAGACTAGCCAACAGACTAATCAATAGGCTCTACAATAGGCCACCAAGTCTAGTTAATAGACTAGCCAATAGACTAATCAAAAGACTATCTAATTGTAGTCCATGGAATAGTCAATAGATTAGCCAATAGATTAGTCCGTAGACTAGTCTCTAGACTGGTCAATAAACAAACTAATATACTAATCAATAGAATATCCAATAAACTAGTCAGTAGACTAATCAATAGACTAACCAATAAACCAGTCAATAGACTAGCTTATAGTTTAGGTTCAATAAGTGTTCTTTTTCAAAATTTCAATTATCCATGCCTGGCAAATAGAAAAATAAATACGAATAACAATCGTGAGAATTTAAAAAGTTATAAGTAACTCCCGAACTACAGCAACAGACAGAGTCATCGATCTTTGGGTAAAAACTGACAACATTAATGCACGATATGAGTGTTCGTATGTGTGTTGTGAGTAGTTGTCATTCAATTCTAGATGACACATTGACTTAAATACTGGCACTTTTGACAATAGTCTATATTATTTAAATATGTATTTTTTATTTCAGTCTGTTTCTTTATCTTAATTTACTTAAGGTGTCAATTCATTCATAGTCCCAGTCATATATTTGTATGTATAGTATACCTACATATACCTATGTATGTTTACATGTGTCATGTAAATAATGTTAAACGATTCAATGAGTAATTAGCATTATTTAGCAAGTTTATACTATTTGCATTTGCAAGAGTTTTTTTTTATAATATTATTATTTATTTACACACTTTTGACGTGTTTTACGTATTTTGTTTCTGTTCATTTTGACACTTTTCTTATGTCAGTTGTCAAATTTAACAGAAATAAATTTATGTTTTTTTTGTTTTTTTTTTGTTCACACACACGTATTTAGTATGAACTGTCATCAGTCGGACGGTAGTGAAGTGAAACATGACTTCTTTTGTTTTAAAATATTTTGTTGTTGTTGTTTTTTTTATTATTTGTTTATTTATTTGTTAATTTCGATGAGTTGTAAATATTATTTGTTGTTAATTAATAAATATTATGGGGATTTTCGTTTGTCTATGTATTTTTAATGACTTTCAAGTGACTTCACCCACCAACTCTGGGTTTTTTGTCACTTACCGGCACTTTCTTTATAGTAATTTATTTTATATTTTCCTGATTACAGTTATTTGTAAAAAATTGCATTTATTTTTAGAAATATGACAGTGAAATGTGTGCATTTCGATTATTAGTGAATATAGCAACTTTATAGCAACTACAGCCCACAGTTATTGTCCAGTTTATAATCCGGAATATAATTCTAGAAGTCCAGTCTATAGTTCAGTCTATATTAAACTTTGTACTTCAGGCTATAGTCTTCAATCTTGTCTATAAGCCGGTCTATAGTCCAGACTATTTTCCTGTCTGTAGTCCTGACTATAGTTCAATGTATAGCTCTTTATATAGTCCAGAATAAAGCTCAGTCCAGTAATCCTTTCAATAATCTTGTCCTTAGTCCAGACTCCAGCTCAGTTGTACTACAGTCCATTTTATATGCCTGACTATTATTCAGTCTATAGTCCAGAATATAGTTCAATCAATAGTCAACTATATACTACAGGCCATATTCCAGACTTAATATTCCAGCATATAGTTCAGACTTATTAAAGTCCATTCTATAGGCCTGTCTACATGCTTGACTATAGACTAGTCTATATGTCTAACTATATTGCAATCTATAGTTCTGTCGTATATTGTCCTGAACATCAAGAAATATTTAGTCCATACTATAGTTCAGTCAGAAGCTCACACATATAACGGTTTATGATTGCTTTAGAAATGTATTTCTTTAAAGAAATTCTTAAGTCTTATTTAGCCAGATATTCCTTTGTTACTTCTAATTACCAAATAATCAAATCACTTTTTAACTTCAACTCTTAATCTTCATTATACGAAAAATAATATATTTTGTGTTAAAACTACAAACTGCAAGTTTCATTATAAAACATTTACCATTTTACTTACAACTTATTCATATGTATTCATGCCTTCATTCATTCATTCATTCATTCATTCATTTATTTATTCATTCGTTCACTCATTGTATGTTTTAACTAATTATTGCAACAATTTGCAATACATACTGTCATTCAAAAGACAAAACCACATCATCCATCAAGTTGCATAATAAAACCTGATGAATAGCGCTTAAAATGAGCATCCATGCTGTCAATTTAAATAAATTATGGCCGGCCAAAAACGATCCAAACAGCCAGCCATCCAGCCAAGTCATCACTATCCACTCAGCCTAATAACACCAAGACAAGTTAACAAATGTTTGAAAGAGATGCAGAAGAAGAAGAAGAAGAAGGAAAAAAATAATTTCAAATTACTATATGGCTGGCTAAGAAGTTTTAAAAGATTTTGCTAAAGAATTGCAGTTAAACAAAAGCCGCTTGTAACACCAAAAACTTATATACTGGAAGATTATACCAAACAAAAGAACTTTTTGCTACTGATGAGGTCTTTGAGTACCTTCAACACCCTGATGGTTATAAAACTTATAAAGCAAATATTTGTTAAAATGTGTGTTAAATCTTTTTCTTACCCCTCACTTGCTACTTTTTTGTAAAAAACAAAAAATCGTTTGTGCAGAGAAGTTGTAAGCAGTTTACATCTATATGGTATGAGCTTGTGAATGAGTGTCAACAGTTTTCTTGAAAAGTAATCTTCATACATTTGTTTATACATGTACGACATGTTGTAATATTTAACGTGCCATAAACAGGGACAATCACTTGCATATAATTGCCGCATGATCCCAACTCAAAAAAAAAACTAAAAGAAAACCTTCTCAAATCATCATCAGTAATAAATAACAAAGTTTAAACGTGGATTAAATTGCTGTGTCTCAGTCAGTGGCTGTAGATTACCCAGCAAACCTTATACAGAGATATTATAATATAGTAAAGGTAGAACTATAATAACCTTGACTTTACACTGGACTAAGGAGAGGACTATGGACATTATAATTGACTGGACTGTAACTATGGATTGGATCATAGTTTGGATTATA